GAACACGAACACGAGACGGAGAATTGAAGCTGTTCCACACCCGCCTCGAAGATACGAACGATGTTGCTCGACGGAGGACAGAGGCGAAAGAATGCAACAGCAGGAGCTTGAATATTGTTTGTTGCAATTGTGAGCACACGGTGAACGATGTCGCGAAGAAGTGACGACCAGCGAAAGCGGTGGACCAGTCCACTGGATGCAGAAATGATTGGGGAAGGATTTAAAAAAATTGTATTTTGAGAATATTCGGAGTATCGAGGAATATCCTGAAAAACACAGAACTTTATGATTCAAAGAGCCACCATTTTGTTACTTTTCCATACTTTTAAACAATTCTGTGTCAATTTCAATAGAATATTATTCCATCTAATAATTCATTCTGCTTAGATAAAAATTAAATCGATATTTTAATATTTATTGAAATGAAACCTCCACTGAAAAAAATGTAAGTAAGTGGTTTTACCATTACCAAATTATATGCAATTGGCTTAAATTGGTATCTTTTTCCATTTCTATAAAAGACATTCCTGAAAACCGATAATTTTTCGACCATCAGTGCTTGACCATATACATATTTATAATGAAAAATTCATTTGGTAATATCAAAACTATTATCTAATTCAGTAAAGCTTCTTTGACAGACATAGAGGGTACGAATACTTATGGCATTGACTGTATATTCAGTACTTGGTTGAACGATGAAAAATATTGATCGGGTCAGAATTGAATTGCACATTGGCTACGAAGTTGAATATTAACCACGATCGAGCAGTTCGCCGAGAATCGCTACGTTACGCGCTTTCGGAATGCATGCAACCGTGAAGCGTACTCGAGAGCGCGCGCCAGAAGGGCTGAAACGCGTCGAAAGTGGCCCTTAGCGTTAAGAAGACCGTGAATTTCAGCAACTGTCAATTGGGGCTCGGATGCGTCCTAACAATGGCACGGCGGCAGCAGTCAAGAAATTGCGCGTAAATCATCGCGGGACGTTCAGCGAGGCCCGTAATTCCCAGACAATAACGTAATGAGCTTCTTTACCTAATGAGAAGCTGCTTGTTGCGTTGTCTAACTAAATGGCAGGCACATCAGTCAAGGTGTATCACGGAATGAGAAATTGCGCGAAGATTGAGATCGAGCGGCTTCACTTCGAAGGATTACACGCCTCGGAATTCCACCTAAATCTCTTCTCGGCGATGGATAAATGGCGACAGTGGGAGCTACAAGAGGTTTTCACTCGTCGAAGTTCACGTCCGTTACACTTCCACTTGAATAAATTTTGAAATGTTCGTGGGCATCTAAAGTTTCAGGGTGAGCCACCCCCCTCTGCATGTCTTAAAACAGGGAAGCTAGAATGTTGGATACTTTCCTGGAGTGTGTCTGGATTACCTAAAAAGTGGAACCTTTCTGGATTAAATTATGTATTTAAATCATCAATTAATTTATTATTTTTAAACGAATATTAATTATTTAAAATTTTGGGAATTGTACGAGATCCACATTCGATATTCATCTGGTTTCATCAAATTAATTACTTAATATTTTACTAGTCTCGTAAAATTAAACCTTGTTCTGAACTAAAACATGTATTTAAATCACGAAAAGAAAATTCTCGAATTTCCCTACAACTTCGTGCACTCGTCGACAACAAGCTCGAATATTCAACGGAACTATCTAAGGTCGTTATTCACCCCCCGCATTCTCGACGAAATTCCTGCACGCGCCTCATTGTGTGCCCCTATTATTTCCCGTCTGTCTTTAGTAAACATAATGAAACCACAATATGAAGCTCGATGCGCTCCGCAGCTTCGCGCACCGCCATGGCAGCGAAACACATTCATCCAGCGGAAAGAAACGCCGGGCTGGGATCTCGGTGGGCACGACGGAGTTTGGAAAAGAAAACAAAACAGTGCCTCGGCTGTGTACCGTGAATTCATTTGGAATCAGAACGGGGGCATTATTCTATTCTCGTGGAAATATACTGGCAACAGCTCGGCAACGGGATAATAATCCTCGATTTACGTCAGAGATTTTTCGAGGCTGAAATTATTCCTGGGCCGCGTTTAGACTCTGACTCGTGACGTTGATGTCACTAATTCCTTTTAACGTTTTCGAAATTCGTTTCGAGAAACTTTAATTACGCGACCGGCGTGGCTTTCTATTTCGTTGGCGTCTGCGGAGTGTTTATTTGCTTTTCTTTCTTTCGAACGTTCATTCAATAACGTCCTTTATGAGAATTTTGCAAACACCGTTCAGACTGGTTTGCGAATCTTTGCATTTTTCACGGCAGGAAGTTACCTTCGTTATCGCTAGGTGGCAAGAATATGAAATTCCAAAGACGTTTCATGAACGCTGCATATATCGTCTCATTGTCTCTGTTTGTTTATTTAGTTGCCTTCGTAGGCAATTTCTATGGAAATTATGATTACCCGAAAGCTTTCGTAGAAAAGAAAGTACAGAAATTATTATGTACAATTATCAAATAATTTCAACATCTATTGCAATTTCTTGTTGTAGTCCAGTCACTGTATAATTTAGACACCTCATAATTAAATAAATTTTATTTCTTACCATCTTTAATTACATAAACATCGAAATCGACGCTTTAAAGCTCCGAATACTGGTAATTCCTATTCGACCTACTTGTAAGAAATGATAATTTGGTAACGTTAAAAGACACCAGAGTTTCCTAACTAGAATCGAACCTCCCAAGTGTAGATTTTGAAAGACGAAGACGGAAAAGCTTTGAAGTTAGCCTGGGAGATTACTTTAACGAATTCGATGAAGCCTCTCGTCCTTCGTGACGGCCTACAAGCAGTACTGTGTAAGGACTTAGAGGCAACTTCATCCTCGTAACAACTGACGATGGTATCACGCGAGCGTTTCGCCAACGCGAAACCTTGGGGAAATTGGGGGTGGGAGGGCGAGGGGGAAAAATATTCAACGGCGATGTAAGTGATTGTGTAAGTTACACACTAAACGTCTTATCAACTTTGCAACGGTAATTAATTCCCAAAGAGCGACGCCGTAACGAGCTTCTTACACAAGGAGGGTCTGTTTAATTATACATCATCGCCTGGGACTTCGAGGCTGTTCGAGGTCTTCGAAGATTTCGCGGATCTATCGGAATCCATTAAAGCCAAATAGCCCTCTAAACTTCGGACCAGCCAATGAAACTGAACGAAAATGGCGTCACTAAAATTCTTCCATTCATAGACGAATTTATTTTTGTATAATATTAGGTGCAGATATTAATCCCATGCTTTTATATTGGATCGTTTATAATTTTAATTTAAGTGAAAATACATTTCAAGCGATTCAAATATCTTGGCACTTTGCAATATTTACTTTGTTGCTTTGCGAATTTTCTCGCGATGAAGTATAAAACAATTAACGCGTACATGTTAAAATTTAAAGTCAGGTTGATAGGTACTTATATGTTGTATAATCGCGAAAATAATAACAAAATGAATCAGTAGAAGAAACAATAACGACAATTATGTGAAGCGGTCCCTTTAGATTCTTTCTGTATACAGCTTCCAAAATATTTCCTTTGGAATTAACACCAAGAAAGTTATTCGTCACGAAAAAGATATTCTATAACAAGATGTAAATACATTTGCAATATATTTATCACATAATACCTTCCCTTGGAGTCACACATAGTACGATCGCACCAAGTTTCTCACTATCATTATTTTCATGCGAGCCCTTCTTCGACCAACGAGCTACCCTAAACTTCTCCACGTTTGATTTCCTTCATGTACACTTTCATGTGTCCGCACTCGTCCCAGCTTTACAGAACGAGTGAACGCGGGCACATTAGTTTGAAACGTGCGAAACGGGAACTCGTTTAGCTTTAGAGGCTCTTCGGTCGTTAAGTCGCAATATTTAATCCCGTGCAAACAGTCACGGACAAGCGAGCCCTCGAAGAGCGACTGTCGATATCCAGCATTAAGCTGGTACGTTTCGTTGGAGGCTTAGCGGCTTCGAAACCCTATAACTGACCGCCACGCTGCTGGGCATTAATGAACATAACGCGTATATAATATGAAAACACGTCCCTTATCCGTGTAGGCTCAACCGATTTCCTCCATCGCGAAACGAGGCCCTTTAATCATGCCGCGCCTCGTTTAATTGTATTTTCGAAAAACTCTTCGCTCATCCGTGGCTTTTGTTGGTTATTTTACTATACGGTCAGTCCTACAAGTATTTGTACCTTCTATGTCTATTGAAGGAAGTCTGAATTAAATGATAGGCTCGACGATTCCAAATAAGTTTTTAACATTTATTTGGAAACGCCAAACCTGTCGTTTAATTTATATGTCTTCAGTAGACACTGAGGGTACGAATACTTATGGGACTGACTGTATATGCCATTGGAAACTTTGTTATTCTTGAACGAAGATTAATTATTAAAAGGATCGAGAATTTAGTGAGATCGATATTCGATATTCGTTAATTACTTAATATGATTGATACGAAATAGAAATCTCAATAATAGTCTTAATAGTAAGTCTTGGTAATAGCCTTATTACGACTCTCAAAGTGAAGAGATGGAGATATATTATTCGTGCATTATATGTTTTATATAGAAATAGTAGTAGAATGTTTTGAAAGAAAGTATAGCTTTGTTTTATCTACCACTACTATTAACATTTACCTATATTTCCATTGTACCTGTGATGTAACAAGAATTTTCATAAATTCTTATTAAAAGTAGTTTTGTACCAATCGTACTAACTAATTCAATGCTATCGTATTTACTGTACAGCAGACATTGAGATAGTAAAGATTCATTCCGTGAAATGAAAATGAATCGGCTGATTACGCGCCCAAGGGGCCAGGTTGACTTTTTTCTGGACGTCTTTTAATAACATTCCCGTACACGGAATGCGGGTTGGACGATGGAACGGATTTTTATCGGACTTGCGAGGAGAACGAGATTTGAAACAGATTGCATGGCCATAACGGACGGCGCTTAATAAACCCGTCAGACTACGTACCTCATAAACGGCTCCAAGAGGCATGACGAGACAGGCAACCATAAGATCGGCGACAGCCAAGCTGACGATTAAATAATTCGCCACCGATTGCAAATTCCGCTCCAACACGATCGCCGCTATCACGAACAGGTTTCCTGAAACAAACAGTTTTTGATCGTGTTTTGAATTATAATTGACCGCGCTCGATTATACAGAACCATCCAAAAGAAGCTTTACTTGGATACAGCTGTCTGATTAATTTGTTGTTTTATCGTATCGAGTTTAAACATACGAAAATTAGGTATTGAGTGAAATAGGATAGAGAGAAAGATAAACATATGAATATAAAACTGAAGATAAGTGTACAGCGTATACTATTATTAGACCGTGATTGTTTATGAAATTTCAAATTTTTTACAGACACAGGAGAAGGGTTGAAACTTAAATGAAAGTAATGTCTTATTTTTCATTTAAGAGTAGATTTCAGAAAAATTCAAGTCAAGAATTCATTCAAAAGTAATGTCTTGTCTTTTAAATATAATATATACATATATCACTTATACAACGGAAGGTACTTATAAATCAACCCAAAACAGCAGTCCAGTAAAAAATTTTCTTTGCCAGTCAATCTTAAAATTCACCAAACTTCTACCACTGTTCTCTGTATCACTGTTTCCTCTGAGAATATCGACTCATTTTTGTTCCGTTAGAACGCATCTCTGCTGAAACGATCTTCACTTTATAGTTCATATTTTGAAGTGCTGTGTCACGGTAAATAAAATACAGACGCGAAGTCTCGAAACTGTAATAAACGGACTAGACGAATTTCTGTCCAAAACCGAGCGCTTTGATGCTCGCTTTTCCATCGTACCGCTGTGTGTTTTATTACCACGGAAGGAAGAATCGCTACTAGTCGTTATCAAGCCGTTTCATATCAGAGTTTCACAGAGTTCTCTCTATTTTCGCGCTAGACGGCTTTAAATCAGCGATCCAGTTAGTTGCGCGCGATTCTCGGGGCTCGTGTAAATAATTCATAAGCTGATTAGTGAGGATTCTCGAAGAGAACTGGACGGTTCAACTTCTGTGAAACGTTGCGCAGGTATCGTTCGCTCCAATTAAACAATTAACGGGTACACTCAAGATAAGTAGCAGGGTCGTTATGAACAAATGAAAAGATTTTTCGCGAGTGTGATAATAAAGGATAAAATAGGAGAAGCAATTTAAAATTAATTTTAGGATGTCTGAAATATATTTTAATAACTGTCATCATATACCTAACGAAGGGGAATTTAGTACAAGATAAAGGCACGAAATACGCCAAAGAAATATTTGATATTGACTTCATAGAAACAAATTTGTTTATTTAGACAGACACCAAAAAATGTAAATAAACTAAACGGAATACGGATATATACGTATTCGTTATTGAATTAAATCTTATCTCGAAAATGTACATAGTAGCTACATAACTTCAAAGTCACGTGAATTTACAGAAGGATAATATTACTAAATAGGAAAGAATATCTTTTCTCCAACATTTCATACAGGACCTTGAAAGCAAACGACTAAACGTCTACGAGAAATTAAACCTGTAAATCAGATCCAAAGTATTGGCAAGCACGAAATACCAGTGATTTGAAATAAGAGAACCGTCTCTAAGGCCACCTACTAAAATAAGCTCGGCACGGAAGTGGTTAATAATTCCTGGCCGAAGGCCACGCTCCGTTTCCTTCGTGTCAGGGCCAGAATATTTGTCGCGAATCCCGGGCTTCGAACTTGCGAATTTTTAAGCGAAGGACGCGTAATCTCTGGCCGTAATTCCCAGTCAAGTTCATGAAGTTCCCGTCCCCTCTCGGTCCCCATCGCTGTTCTATCGTCGTCCATTCGTCTTCGTCGAGGGCCGTGGTTACACGTGGCGTCGGTCAATGCGGTTTTCGGTAAAGTTCGTTCGCCGTGCGATAGATGTTCGACCAGAAACAGTTCGCTTTACGCTAAAACCGCTCCCAATTAGTTCGTCGACGGTGACGTCGCTTTGAAGGCTTCGTAAACGTTTTGACGATCGTGTAATCAGCTTATTTGTACCGGTAGGTGCTGACCGACAAACGACGACAGACGTCGAAGTCAATTCGTCCGCTTTTCCGAGGGAATGATTCGCCACATCGAATACCTCGGGGCGATTTCGGTCATTAAACGATATTTTTGAAAATTTAATTCACCGGGCGACGGACGGTGTCAATTGTCATCGAACGTGCTCGTTCGACGAATAATTAATGGCTGGAGTGGCGAACAAACGAAGGGGGACGTTTATTCGTTATGAAATGCAAATCAAGTATTTCTAGCAAAACGCGCGAGTTTATATATGAGAGATTCGTATTTAATTACGTGCGAAATGTCTGTTCGAACTGAAATTATGAGGGTGCAGCGGCACGCGTCACGGGGTAATAGTACTTCGTTGGAGTCTGACGTACACGTCCAGAAGTACGTCGGACACCGAAATTGGAATAAGTATTTCAAAATAGGTAAATATCTGTTGATATTATTTTATTTATATATACATTGTTATATACATCAATGAATAGAAAATTTAATTGTTCTTCTATATATTCTATAACCATTGATATTTAAATATATTCAAGAATTAATGTAGACAAATATTTAATACATGAATATTAGCTCCATAGAAATTAATTTTGCACGCAACCAACCCAGTAAACGAAACATTTTCACTTTAACTGTAATAGTCACACGAACCTCGCGTCTACAGTAGGCAGCGTTGAAATTAACGAAGAACAACTGTCTTTATATTTAATTTAATGGACGATGTAACTCAGCACTGGATGCAACGGGTTGCGCAATCAGACGCAAGTTAAATCGGCCTCGGCGCGATTTAAATCAATGTTGAAATTAACGTTACATGCGTCACGTGGCCCGTTAAATGGTTTTCTAGCCCATTTGGACCAACGACAAAGTTAATGACGCGACGGCGCGCGAGAGCATCGCGCAGCCGTCAAACGAAATAACTTTTATATGATCGCGTTCGCTGTTCCAGCTCCCCCTCCGTTTAAATTCTGTTTACGATCGAGAGGTTTGCTAACCGGATACGAAGTCAACAGCGGTTTAAATCACTTCGGAGTGTGCGATCGGGTCCGTGCCACGCGCAGCGATAAAACCGTATTTGGCGAGCCGAACGGACGCATTCGCGTCTATTTTATTTCATTTCTGACTTGTCCGTTCGCCGAATCGTTTGACTGCGGAAATCGCGGCCCAAGGCGCCGCTGGTGTTTCACGGTTCCGTTAATTCACAGAACAAGCACGAAGCATTGAATACAAGGAACAACAACAAAAATCGAATAATTATGCGCGTTTTACGTATACGCGTGTAAAGTTTATTCGTGTACACGCTCGAAATTTTGATGCGTCGGTTACGACGCTCGCGATTAGCGCGATGGCGATAATGCAATAATGGTTACATACCAATCGAGTCGAATCGCGAACGAAGTTAAAGGAACTTTCCATCCCCGGGCTAATTCACGGTTTATCTGGCGCGGCCGGGGGAACGTTTTGAAACATCAAATACGATTAGAAAGTTCGGCAGAAAACTGATACGATTACTGGCCAGCGACTAACTAAGGTGCAGCCTCTCGGAGTTCTTCGGTATGCATATTCATACGGCCAGGAATGCTTCGCGTTTTCACAGAGTAGTCTCACTGTAAATTCTGTTATTAGTGCAGTTCACTGGCTATATAACGGTCCGCTGAACACCGCGCGGATGGTATACCTGTGTCCAAATTAGGGTAATTACACGAGTACTTGACAACGAGCAAATCGCTCAAAGTAACGACGTATCGCAATTTTCGCGTAAACGGGAGCGATGCTTTCGCGTTACGCGTTTAATCAAGAATTACTGCTTTTCGCATTCGGGCATATTACTTTCTCAAAAGACATCGGGTAACGATCTGAAACTTCGAGATGGAATAAAAATGAATGTCTTTGAATTAGTTAAACATTTATAATGTATACAGTAATATTTAGTATTCGGTATTCAATTGATAACAAACACGGTTCAGAATAAGCATTCATTGAAGACATTAATCGCGAGAAATTTTTCTATATATCGATATCTATTGGTTAGAACAACTATATTTTTTATAAAAAAATATGGTAGAGTATCGAATTCTGAATAAAAAAGTATCGATCTTTATTCATTCTCAACCTTTATTACTTGATAATTTTCTTCCCGTAATATCAAGTTGGAGATTCAACCTTATCACCGATTTCCACAGGATCCATGCAGAGTTGAAATTTGCTTTATTTTTAAAGAAACTTACTACCCAATTTGAAAATCACCAGCTTAAAGAGATGGCATAGAGAGGGCATAGCGACCTGTACTTCTTTAAATAATATAAAACACTTACAAAACTGAACCAGCTCGCCAAGTCTCACGATAAAATTCAGACAAATGGCCGGTACCATTTGATATCGCTGGGATTCTCTCCTCGAGCGAGAGCTTTAGAAACGGCAACCGGAAGAATAGAATTTTAAACAAGCACCGACAGCTCTCTTCTCCGACCGAGGTTTGAAATTCTTCGGACAATACTTCGCAGACACGCGTGACGTCTCCACGGTTTAAAATTCATAAGCAGGCTTGAGCCAGCGGTCTCGTCTCGAATAAACGATACATTTATCGAAATGAATTCCCCGGATGCGAAGGAATCGCTTGTGCGCGCTCGTTCGGGCGTTCGTCGAAACTGCGCGCCGGAAATGCCCTGTCATATTTATTTCCGGGCAGAGTGGCCCATCCGCCAGCTCGCTTTAACTTCCAACGACGGCCGGATTTCGAGGTAACCGAATTCTCGCCGCTCTGCAATCTCCAGTCATCTTAAATAAACGTTTCGGAAAAAGGTCCGCGGCGAATACTTCCGCGAGCTGCACCGAATTCTTCCAGGGCCGAGACTTACGTCTCGCAACTTTTCCGCCTTAAAGAATCCTCGGTCCAACGGGGCGGTTTGCTCGGTCTAATTAAACTAAACTTCGTTGTTGCCCCGTACCGTCTCGGCTCATATTTTCAGTTGGGGAACTCTATTGTTCTTCCGCGTCCGTGTTCATCCCTCTGGGCTTTCCCAATATCCTTCGCGATTTTCTTCGACCGCCCCGA